GTTGCAGTCTCCTCAACGTACTCTCTTCCTGCACACTATTCATACTAACACAGCCACCAGAGTTCTAGTTCTTACACAGGGGCCGGCAGCATTTCATGCATTCCGCAATGCTTTCTCATACACCTGCCATGTATGCTCCAGGTTCCCCAGCTTCCATAGCTCAGGGCCTGCAGTCTTGTGGCCACACCCCCATTTGCTGGGTAACACACTAAAATCACTTGCCACAACCTCATTAGCTTGGGGACCAGTGAGACGTACTGCCTCTCCTGCTGAAGAAGATGGAGTCTTAGTCACATGTGTCTGTAGTAATTTGAAAAGTTAAAGAATAACATTTTAATTTCTGTTTTCTTCTGTCTATTTTTTATACTTTGTTTCCTGCTAAAAATCCAACTTACCATTTTGCTTCCTAAAACACTGTAAAAAGAAGTACTTGTCTTATTGTATTGCCTTTAGCAGTTACTAATGAGCCAGTTACTTTGGTTTTTCGGGTATTGGTTACTTAATTTCTTTATAAATGAATTTGATCATGCTACAACTTTTTCATTATCCAGAACTAAATAAAGCATAAATATACTGTATAGTTTCTAATAGGCAACAGAGAAAACAAGTATTTTGAGCAACAAAATTAACTTAGCTCTGTATTTATGCCTTATGTCTTAAGGAAAATAAAATATATGGATTCTGGACATTGATCAAATGTTTTTGGTGTCAATTTACTGTCCAGAAATTCTAGAAAATTTGTGTGAAGAAGTGTTCAATGTGGAGCAATGCACAGTGGCAGTTGGCATGCCAGAAATTAAGCACGAAGAAATATTGAAGTCAATAAAATGTTTAAAATAGTGGAAAGGCAGCACGGATAATGGTATCCATGCAGAAATGATGAAACATAGAGGTGAAGTTACAACATCAGGATTCAAAAGACTGTATAATGTCATATGGAAAGCAGTGCACATGCTGGCTGAGTGGTGAAATATAATACCATTACCATAATACCATTACCAAAGAAAGAAAGAATACACACACTTTTGTATAATAACCTTGCTGTCTTTACTGGGGAAAATACTGGCGACGGTCATTCTTAAACACCTAAAGTATGGACAGTGGACTCAAGAACAGGCAGGATTTCAACAGAAACTATCACACTGTGAATGGATGTTAAAACCAATGCTGATTATCTTCCTTGATTTCAAGAACACCTTTCATAGTATGTTCCACAGTATGGAAAATACTGATGTGGTATGGCATTCTAAAACAGATAGTGAACAACATTGCAAGTTTCTATGAGGATAACAGTGTGCTTAATGTCTATAGGAATATATAGGATTGAGACAAGGATGTGTTTGCTTGGGTGATGAGAGGGGTTCCAAATAAAAAGAAATCTAGGATTTAAGTGGGTGTGGTAAAAAAGATTTTGGAGTCACAATCTGACCTTGACATTGCCAACAATATTGGATTGCTGAAAGCAACATGGAGGGGTGGGTGGGGGTGGAGGAACTAACAACTCATGTGAAAGAATTCTGCAAAATTAGGTTTATGCATCAGTACAGAGAAAAAAAGTGATTAAAGCTGGAATGTCAGGTGATACATCTAGCACAAGAGTGGATAACAAGAACATTGAAGTCATAGAACTGTTCTGTTATCTTGGCAGCATAATTACAAATAATAGCAGCTGTGATACATTTCTTTATCATTTAGACTGGTAAAAGCAAACACTGCATTTAGGAAACTGGACAGTGTACAGTATGGATTGAAAATCTAATGGCTACAGTATAAAACCAAAACCAGAGTATGGACTGTAGTCTTGACTGTGGTACTATACAAAGCCTAGACTTAGCTAAGCACAGTAGCCAACATGAAAAATTAGAACCTGCCGATTATAGATGGTTAAGAATAATGGCTCGAATAACGTGGAAAAAAAGGGTTAGAGACACAAAATTAGACAATTGCTGAGATGCAGCTAAACCATCATTGTTTGTAGGGGAGAAGACCATAGAGGGGCCCTGTATGCTCAGCAGTATTCAATGATGCAACAGAATAAAGTTCACTTCAGGTCATATGGGTAACATTTGAGCCAAGTTCCACTTAACAATGAATCAAGGTTTTGTGTAGATCATCCCGATGGATGTCAGTGTGGCACAGAACAATATGCTTATTGTGTCATATGACAAACTGATTGATAATTGTGTTGGTCTGTGCAGGACAGATGAGTTATAACAGAACTTCACCTGTACTGATTGATGGCATCCATACTGCGTAAGACAGAATCTACCACCTGGTGAAAAGCATATATACTGCTTGTATTCCTTACAGCAGTGGCCACCCATCTGCTCTATCTTTTCTTTCAATGAAGAATCCCTCTTGATCAATCAGGTTGATGGCATGTAAATCAGCACAATTGGTTATTTTTTTATCATATCTGTTAAATAAAAGTCACTCTAACTGCTATAAAACATGGACATTTTCCTGTTAACCATTAATTTCTTTCAGTTTCCATCAACGTCCAATATGTATGTTGTGAATTTCCAAGGGCTGTAGTTACATCCCACTGTTCTTAAGCATTCCGTACTGCAGGTGCAAACCATCCAGCTGGGAGTTATTTCCTTCCCAGTTGCATGATAAATAAAATGATGAAGAAAGACGAGAAAAAATTACTTGTTTTGCTGCTGTGGGGGTGGGGTGCAAGTAGCCTTGCTCTGCTAACCTGCATGGCATGCTAATGTGAGCACTGAGCAGTTAAATTAGCATTGTCCGAAGAAAAGCATCAGAGTTGCGGTAATCCTCCTCCCCTCCCAAAATCCTCCATATCATAAAAGTACACACATGGCTAAGGGTTCACACACTTTTGAAAAATAATAAGATGTAATAAATAGCAAAGTAGATTTTGTTTCGTAAGAAATATTAATGAATACATTTTAATAAAATAAGACTCAGCAAAGTCTCCATGGAGATTAAGGCAATGTTTTTAAATAGACAAATCTAAGTTGGTTGAAAACTTTTAATCGTGATTTCATAAATTGTGGTTAATTTAAATAAAATCTTTCCGAAGAACCAGAAGGCACATAGCACTAGATTATGGAAAACTTTTACCCTTAAAGCCACAAATTAAAACAAAGATACAGAATGATACCAGTTTGGAGAAGTTTCTGTTGAGTCTTCAAAGTTTCATCACAAGGAGTAGTGATTTAATTGACATTCTGTGTGGACAGGACCGTTTTAGCTTTGACGTTTTATGCATTTTTCTTTGTTTTTAGAGGAGCTGGTAAATTTCACATTTAAAAATGAGTAAAATGATTTAGCAAGGACTGAAGTTGCAAATATTGAGAAAACATTGTTACATTATTTTGTGAAGTTAGGATTTAACATTACATGTCTTGCTTAATTGGTATCTCGTGGGTTTTTGCCCTCTTAAGTGGTGGTACCTCAAGAATAATATAACATACCTAACCTAACTTTTACCTACCTTTTCATTTTTTGTTTTCTTTGATATAATAAAGTTAATAGAATTAATACTTTAAAATATCTCTTATAAATAAAGATAATATACTGTATATGTGCAACAACATCAAGCACAAAATGGAGTGGACATAAGCACAGCAGTATCTAGAACCTTGGAATTATGCTTTGTGTACAGATTCCAGGCCAACATGCAGAATACTGAGGTTGTGGGAAAACTGGACAATTACGCTTTGTTTCAAGGATTCAATTCTAATGTGGCAAGACTGTACATATTGTATCTACTGTGAACTAAATGTTCAAAACTGTGAAAGTGTGTAAAATCATTCCACTAGTGGGAGGAGAGAAAGCGTGTCTAATATCTCAGCAGTAAGCTTCTACTAACAGCATCTCTTGTACTGAGCAAAACAGATGATCCCTTGGGGCAGTTTTTCTGGTGACCAATAAATTTTCAGCAACTTCAAAACCATTTATCACAGTTTCAAAACAGTGGGGTTTATCCATTTCTTTCACTAACAGCTTCAATTACTGCATGCTAAAAACTGAAATTATTTTTTTTCCAGCAGGATGTACTGTGAGTTGTTTTTTTGGGAAGAAACCAAGGATAAAAAACAAAGTTCTATTCTCTGGGTAGATGTAGCATCTAACAAAACTTCTTATAGCAGTATAGGACTAACAACTGAACTACTCAAGTGTGAGTGATTTTAATGAAAATTGAACTTTATTTGGCACCACACTGGCCTTATAAAGCCTTATTTTAATTCATATAGAAATAGATCACAAGCAGTGATAAATATATCTATATCTATAATAAAGATAACTGAAAAAAACTGCATACAATTATTTTGTGAGATACAAACATTGAAACATAAAACAATTATATTTCAAGGAATTGAAATTAAAGAAAGTGGAATTCTGTTATTACTTTATTGATTCTTCAGATTAATTTTCCGTCTTTTTCAGAATTAATAAAACTGCGTCTATAAAATAAAATCTTTATACTCTGAGGCAGAGAATAATTGTTTGATGACATTTTGAGAAGAAATGTCAGTAGCAGAAATTAAGCATTGTTTTTAAACAACAGTTTATAAAATAAATCTGAGCCCCTGTAATTATCTGAAATGAATGTTTTGCATCTTAATACTTTGAAGGCATTTATCTTAAGGTTTATTTGCATAGAAATTAGTTGTTATTGAAAAATAGAGCTTTATTCTAAAATGCCTCAATAGTATTATTTTCCTCTGGGAGGGCTTTATCTTTCTCTTTGAATGACTTTTATTTATAGAAACATAAAATTAAAAATCTGTCAAGTCAAGGGACTGATACTCAATTAATTTCCTTAGTTTTACAACAAGTATAATTCCTGTACCAAGAACTACACCCAAGGGAGATGTTGTGTAGGTAGAGAAGAAATGGTTACGCCACAGTGTTCAACGATGGTGAATAAATATATGGGAAATTCGATATGATCCAATATGGGAAAATTGTTGGGTGACTTAAATCAAGATGCTGATAAATCACTCTTAAATATGATGCTATTTTCTCAGGTGCAGTTGAAAACTACCCTTTCAAGTCAGTATGTAATCCGTACTCAACCAACCAATACTTGTCTCTCAACACTGGAATGTGCTGCCATTGCTCTTTCAATCATGGAGAAGAATGACTCAATACAAGAGGTGGGTAGGCCATGTTAATTCTATCAGAAATGTAAACTCTAGCAATATTTGCATCTGTTGTTGTATGTAATGTGGCATTTTTTTTCAAATCCATTAGTTTTGGATGATTTATAAACAAGCCACAACTAGAAAATTTTTGACGATTGTCACTAAACCAGTCTCCTTCTACGTCTCAAACTCTCGCAAGATACTGACTAGAGCCCACAAGGAACCAATCTATACTTTAATATTAATAATAATAATTCCTTACGCTTACATAGAACTTTTTTGGACACTTTTTGGACAGCCTCGCTCTGGCCCTGGATAAAATTCCAGACCTGGGGTGCTGTCTGTGTAGAGTTTGTACGTGAGTGTCCTCTGGGTTCTCCATTTGCTCCCACAATCCAAGGACATACTGGTTGGGTAAATGACTTCTGGGAAATTAGCCCTGGTGTGAGTGTGTGTTTGTTTCTGTCTGTGTGTGCCCTGTGTGTGATGGTGCTTTTATATGAAACATATAATTGTTCATTAATTTATGGGATTCTTGTGTTTTTTGGTTCCTACAAATTATATCAGATTAAAACTTTTAATTTTAACAATATGGAAAAATAGACTAGATTTTAAATCTATAAATTACATAAAATTCTTGTTTTATGAATGTTTTATGTTGTAACTGGCCTCTCTGTGGCTGGTGTAATAACAGTAATTGTGTAGCTACCTATGAAATTACCAGATCTTAAGCTTGTTATTTACATAATAGAAATGATTTTAGTAAAACTTATTTTTGGCAGTACAAGTCTCATTTGTCTCCTAGGCTGCCTATAGTGTCTAAAATGTAAAGTAATCATTGCTACTGATACTGCGGATGAACTATACAGCCCTTGATAAAAAGAAAATATTCATGCTTGCATTTGTGTAATCATGTCTAAGATGGAATACCTACAGTAGATTGATTTGACTAGGCTGCATGATGCAAAAAAACATAACCTGCAGATATTTACCTTATCCATATTTCTCTAAGAAAATACTCTTTCTGTGTTCCACCACAAACTGTCAGAATACTCACTGGATCTAAATACTACATCATACCTCAGTGTTTTTTTATGCTTTCTTTTGAAAAAAAAATCCAATAATATCATTTCTATCTCACTTTTGCAGGCATGATTATTTGAAATAGCTATTCAATTTTGATCTTCTGAATACAGGTGTTCCTGTATACTAATTGAAATGGTCCGATTCTGCTCACAACACCTTTGCTAGAATGTTAGATAGCAAGAGGAGGGGTCCCTCATGCTATATTTCATCCCCAGTCTGGAACTTTCTTCTGGTTGATTTTAAAGATGCAACTACTGTTTTCTCTCCTTCTGTTTAACTCTAAGATGACAATATTTTTTTATTACAACCGATTTGATATTTGTTATTATCATTAGTTATTTCGTGTGGTCAAAAATTAGTGTCTTCTATGAAACTGAAATGTACTGATTACTGGGTCAGCATATAGTCTGGCATTTTTAGAAAGTGTTATCTGGAGATATAAGGTCATGTACTTTACTATGCACTGGTCATGGTAAGTTCTCTTTTATTATCTAATTTTGCTTCCTTTTTCTGACATATTTGGGTCTCAAAGTACTTGGCTCCTTCTCCATCTAGTTTGATCAAGGGCCATAATCTCCCAGGAGTTGATGCTGATGTTCAAGATTCTTTGAGATTCTAGAGTCTGACATCTGTACAACCTGACCAGCCTAATGGAGCTGGTGCCAGATACTGTTCATATAGCTTTCAGTGCTATAATCTTCAGTGAGAACCATAATGTTAGTGCATCTATTCGTCCACTTGATATGTAAATTATTTTATATATAGCATTGGTGATGTGACTCCAGTCCTGTTCCGTGTCTCGTCTGTATTGTCCCGCTCCGTGCAGTAACGTCTGCATGGTAGACCATCAGTTTGGCTTAATTTTTCAATTCGCAATCCTCAAACACCCACTTTTTCAGTTGGTCAAACATGGCAGTTGTAAATTTTAGTTAATGCTGGATTTCTTTGTCAGTATCAGCCTTCTGTGAAGGATAACTCCTAAGTTCTGAGAATCACTTTATATTATTTAGACATTTATTGCAAATCTGAATTGAGGGAGCTGGCACATTTACATTTGAAGTCTCCTAATAGAGAATTTTGGACTACTGAATAAAAGTCTTAAGTCACATTTTCTGATATGCTTCAGTATGTTGTCAGTTGTCAGGAAGTCCATTTCTGTCAAGCCATGTATGCAGCATCATTAGCATACATACTGTACATACTACAGTTCAATGACTGAAGTCAGGATGGCTTTAGTTTTAGACCAGAATCATTGAGGGTTAAATAATGTATCATCCATTTGGTGAGTTAGCTGAATTCCATCAGGGAGCCTGTCTGTTATCAAATAAAGAAGCCCAGGAATATTGAAGTACAGTTGGGGCAATGATACAGTTTTGTTTTACTTCTGTCTAGGCTTCAAAGGCCTCTGTAATGGGTCCATTAGCGAGGATTGCTACATGCATGATCATAAAGCAGGCAAAGGATCCAGATAAATTTTGAAAATTACAGTATCATACTTCAGGGAGATCTTCTGGATTCCCTCATGATTTACAGAGTCAATTGTGTTTTTCTTTATATCAAGTTAAAGTGCCAACTAGAAAGGTTGGTGTTGCACTAAAACTTTTTCCTTTAATTGATGGTCTGTTATACTGCAGAATGGACTGAGAAGGAAAGAGATGATTCAATAAATTGTAAAGACTTTGCCAATGATAGACAACAGAGAGATTCTTCTGTATTTTTATAGTTCTCCTAAAGACTGCTAGTCTTGGCATCCTTCAGATCATTCAGAATTACTTTTTTACTTGATCTATATGATGATGCTTGAACATTTCAGTGGAAATTATTTCACTTCCTGTTGCTTTGTTGTTCATGTATTTAATGGCTTTAAGTGGGGATAGCATTCAGTTTTTATATTGTCTCTAATTTGGTGCTGTGGGATGGAATTGAATATTCTATTGTTGACAGTGGATTTTTAATTGAACAATTTAACAATATCTTTGAAATGCTCCTTCCAACGGGCATTGACTGCCTCCATTTTATCGATCTGTTCCTCCCCCTTCCTTAAGTTTCAAAAGGTACAAGTGGTTTAACTGTTTGTGGTAAGTATACCATATAACATATTACCATATAACATATTAATGATCGATGACATTGTTTCTTTGTGGTAACAATGTCATCGATCATTGAAATCTGTAAATTTCCATTGTAATTATATATTTAGCAAGTAAGTCTAAAGTCAAAATTATGTTCTCCCTAGACAGTAGATCTCTGCTTGTGACAAGGAAACCTAGTAATTTTCAATGTGTGAAATGTTACATAGCACTGATACCAATGAAACACATCCAAGTAGTATAACCCCAAGCAGAGGCATTCATTTAAGTGACCCATGTTTTTGCTAACATGGGGTTTCATTTAAAGGTCTTTGTAATTCTCTCTTCCAGTTTTTTAATACCTGTAATGTCGTAGGTTCTTTTGTAATATAGAATACTGTGGAGTAATGAATGCTTTACTGTCATATTACTTGTTTTCTTATGTTTTTCCATACAGGTTATTCTGCGTCCTCTTAAGGCTCTGTGCTCCTTTCAGCTTGAGCACGGTGCACAGGTTCACCACAGCAAGGAACATCTTCTCAAAAATGGATTGTATGACAAACCTATGCCAAAGAACAAACGTAAATTGAAACGAATGGAGCGTCTGGTCAGCAATGAAAAAATCTAACCATTATCAATGCTCATTGTTTTCTTTTAGAGTACACAGTGTATTACTAAGTTATTAGAATCAATAAAGATATAATTAGCCAAGAACTGATTATCTCTGATGACTAATTCAGAGTCATCTGATGTTAAAGCATTTGTTATATAATATTTACATGAGTCTATAGATGAAAAAGGTGAAGTTCATGCAGCACATTTTATAATAACTGGATTAAATTAATCAATTCATTGGCCGCTCATTGGAAAACAATGCCTTTAACCATATTATGGAGAGGCTAGATACCATACTTTTTTTACTTTATATTGTTCTGATTTTTTTAATTATATGCATAAATACTGGGAATGTTTAAATGTTGCTTCTTGTAAACAAAAGTAAACATTTTGGTTTGAAAAGAAAAAGGTTTCTGAAGCTGGAGAAGTGAGGTTGAGTTTTGATAAGTGGATGTAACTTCAACTTATCTGCCTGAGCTTGGCTTAAAGGCAATTTCAATATGTTTGTAAATATCTTATGTGACCTGAGTGATATAAAAAAAACAAAACAATGAGAATTACATTTCATAAAATGTAATTCTCTGGTGACCTGAATGACATATTTTTCAAGATTGTGTTATTTGGGAATGATTATTAAACTATGAGTGTGGTACTTCAACATTTTCTTTTCTTATATGTATATGAAGCATTAACTATTTAAAGCCTATAAGGTCTGTTTTAATTATCTAAACAATATATAAATGACATCTAAACACAGCTTCTTCTTAAATGGTGCATGGGTTTCCTGTGTTCCCCTAAGGCCACTCTTATCAATACCCTTATTAAATATACTGCATTGAGCACCGACATAAATAAAAAATACAATAAACACATGGCTTAGAGCACTCATACTCAGTAAGCATGCTATTGAGAAATGCATCCCAAGAGACCATATCTCCTTCACAGCTTCCTTTCAATTAAATATATTGTATTGTATCTGCCCCTCACATTTATTTATACCACTGAAATAGAATGAAATGGGAAAATTAAACAGGAATAAAAACATCTTATATTTTGTAAATCCTCTACTGTTTTATTAGCCATGAGGTTCTGGCAATTCTGAGGTGGGATTTGTAATCATTCCTCTTGGTCCTTTATATCATTTGGCTTCTATTGGTAAACTGCCTTCTTGAGTTCCAAGAGATTGGACTGAGGTCTGGATACTGAGATTATTTTAGATTATGTTGTCTTCAGTTAAGTATTTCCATGTGGGTTTTTGATCATTGTCATGCTGGAATGTCCATTTTCAGTCCATTAGATCTTCTTGACAAAGTTTAACAGATGTTGACCATAATGCAAGTTCTATGCAAAAAGCAAAGATAACCAGCAATGCTCAGGATGTCAACTTCAAAAACATCTGGATGTCAACTTTTTCACTCAAAGTTGAAGGATTAAATTATACAGTATAACATAAAGACCCATTTGTGCAGTTACTAAACTTGAAGCTGTGTCTTTACTTGCATACCTACGTGTGGTTCCATTTATTTTTAAATTACAATATTTTTATTTACAGAATTAAAGTTTTTTGTTAATTAATTTTGTTGAGCTTACTTTTTATAATCATACATTGACTAGGTCATTGTTTATGTTGGACTTAAACTGTTATTTTGGTACCAATCCTACAAATAGGTTTTCAAGTAGTTTCTCACTTCTGATTCTAAACTAATCTGAGAAGGAAAATTATAACTCGTTCCCCTCCTGCATTTCCTGCATTGTCATATTCATGGCACATTTAGCAGGTGCAGGAGCATAATGTAGACAAGAGTGTGATTTTGTGCTATTTCATCAGCTGCCAAAGCACATTTATTTTTCACTCATACTATTCTGTTAGTGAATCATATATTTTATTGTATTACTAGATCTGATTTCTGTTTTGTTCAAGAAGGTATGCATATTTTTACACATTGTTATGAATGTGCATTCTTTTTCAGAAATGTAATTGTAATTACAGAAACTGCTGCTTATTCTTAATGAACTGATTTACTGTATGGTGTGTTGACCTTATATTTCATAAAATTGTTTCAGTTTTTTTTCCAATAAGTATGATGTCTCTTACTATGTTGTTGCTGGCTATAGGATGAAAATCTTTGGACGTTAGATTAATTCAAATCCACTACATTTACCAAAAAATATGTTTGTATCTACTTCACAATGTGGTATAAACACAGGTAAGTTTAGTAAAGGGCAATTACAATTGATTGGAGGAGTAATGGGGCATCCACTAAAAGCATGTTACACATGATCCCTGAAGTATAGGGCTCAATCTTAAGTCTGAACAAGGACCTTTATTGGTTGGCCCAAGAGCTTAGGACTTTAGAAAACAATACTGAGGGCTTTGCAACTGAAATGAACACAGCTTCAGGATCATAAGGCTTTGTACACCATTAAAGCTTCCAAGTAATTTTAATGATGATTGATCTGTCTACCACTAGAGAAATTACCTTGAATATTAAGGCACATCAGCTCTACAATCTTTGGCAGAGCCTTACATACGTTGCTAAAACACAGCACAGCAAATGTGTCAACTTCAGTGGCTGTGAAAAGATTACATTTCTTCTTTAAATCTTGATAAAACGTATTGTCTTTTCCCTTTCCAGGAAGGTTACATGCCAATGAAACTGGACATTGTTACAAAAACTGATCTTGCACTAGTTCTGTAAAGATCTACAAAATAAAATAATTTATACAGTGCCTTTTCCAACCTTTAGTCATAGTAAACCACTATTTATGAGTTTGTCTGCCAGCTCTTTTCAGAACTTTTGTATATCCAAGGAAAAGGACTTCACAATCATTGTTGAGTTCATTCTGTAGTGTGCTCTTAAGGAAATTGATCACTTAACAATTTGTGGGATAGTTAACCATTCTCCAACATAGACTTCAAAATGGTTTTTGAACAAAAGATGACTGCATTCAGTTCTTAATAATACTTTTTTGTTTGATTGTTGATAATTCAGTTTATTTGCTTTGCTTTTTCGGCTTGTGCCAATAGTAAAGCACTTTACACAGGGATGTGAAACCTGTAGACTGAAGGGCTATGTATGTAGAATGTAGAACCGGATTGGTGGATAAGAATGCTGATTAGTGAAAAATATCATATAATTACAAAAAGGAGTTATGAAAATGGCAAATATCGGAAATAGGTTGAGCGGTTTGATCAGTAATTAAAATAAATAATCATAACCCCCAACATGTAAATAGTCCACCATGAATATATACCCCAGTGGTTGGTATAGAGGCTATTGTGTTCTTTGCATTCTGGCACATCTTTGATAAAAAGAGTAATAATTCAGGACCCCATATAAGGTGAAGGAAGAGATTAGTCCATATTGACTCAGGGCAGACCCTTGCTGGACCAGTAGCAGCACATAATGCAATCTCATGGGGAGCTAGACTAAGCTGGGCCGTGTGGTGAGATGCTGGACAGGTTAGATCCTCTTTGTCACAGGGGCAGTGAGATACCAGGTTAACATCAAACCCCAGAAAGGGCAGATTGCATCACAATCCCAGAGTGGATTGAGCCATGCTAAAGGCAGCTTGCAATAGGGAGAGAGTAGGGCTGTCGTAGCAACAGACAACTCATGGGAAGGCATCTTTAGGAAGCCATTCCAGTTGAGTGAGACACAGTGAGCTTCAGGGGAAGCTCTGTCTCAGGATGAGACATTAGTAGTGGGAAACAGTTACTGAACTTCCATTTTAGGAGTAGTGGACTCCTAGACATAAAAGGTTAATTTCATCAAGAGAAAAGAAAGCTCTCATCAGAGTAGAGGCCTCAGTAAAATTTGTGTTGGCTTGCTGGTAAAAAGATGGGTGAGGACCGTGACAGGACAAATGGAATTGCCCGGAATGAGGTATTTGCTACCACTATCGTTAAATTAAGATTAAATCAGGGGTTAATGTAGCAGATTTCCCCCGTTCTTGGCTGCAAAACAGAGGGGGATCTGTTAGAAAGACTTAAATCTCTCTCTCTATATATATATCTGGATGCTACAAAGTGAATGAGGACCTTACTCCTTATTCTAAAAATGCACTCAATAACCAGGAGAGCCCATTTTTAACTTAGAGATTCTATATACAAGAAATCAGAGTTACCTAAAACCAACAGAATGGAAAGCTCTCCTACCAAGGTCTCTACAGATGATGTGCACAAGAACCGCTCATCTGGCAGATGCTTTATTTTGTGTCCTCCTTTCTCCTGTGTATTTTATTTCTGTCTCTTACTGTGTCCTGCTTTTCTTTCTTTGTACCTACTTGTTTTTAAGCTGTGTTTCTGACTCAATGTGTTTCTTTATGATTTACCAAGAAGTTAATTGATGAAAGTAAGCCAAGATAAACCTTACGATTGCTTTGATCAGTGACTCTCAGACCCCTACAAGAACTTGAGCCAGGTACTGACCATTGTCCATTAGATGATGAAACCTCAGTAGACACTTCCCAATTATAGCCGTAACAATATGTTCTCATTGCAGACACATAAATTAATAGAGCCAAGCTTGCCCATTTTTGTGTGCTTCTAAATGGGAACAATACAGTTGACCAACTGTCCTTGCAAGAGCAGTAAAGTCCGGTGTCATTCTTGATGTAGCAATTTGCAGTACAGAGCTCAAGTGCTAATCCATCAACTTTAATCTGTGTCAAGATTTGCTGTAGTTCATCAAACATGCTTCTGGGGCTTTCCATATAGTGAAATTCTAATATACTACAAGCGAAAAAGTATCTTAATTAACATTAATTGTACAGCAATCCAATTGATAAACTGTCATACCTTGTTAAAATGTATTATTGCTTTAGAAGAGGCTTACCGGCCATATAAACAAATCAAATGCACCACACCTGAGCCATACTTCATCTACCTCTGACTTACCACTTATTGGATAGCTACTTTCATCTCATCTTGCACTATACTAAATGTCTTCTTGAAGAAATATTGGACTCTGTGGTTTTTAATTTGATAAAAATCATTAGTATCATTTTTCCATTCAAGATTGGTAAGGCTTCAAACCAATATAAAAACATCTATGCCTAAATTCGAACTGAAATATGAAATATTTTACAATTTGTTTAGAGTGATAAAATTGGTAATGACTAATTCTAGAAGCAGCTGAGAGCAAAGCAACATTAATGTCATTTAACACCGTGTACAACAGTATAAGCTCTTAAGAAAATAAGTTCAAAATCAGTTAAGGAACAAATATCTTTGCATTTTTCATAGTGTTGTTTATTGTTTCTTCATTGCATATAGATTAGATCAAGGCAAAAAGGTCAAATTTATACAAATTAAACACTCTCTACCATACCAAAAGAAAAGGATTTTCTAATTGACAAAGTATCTCTGTGTCCTAACCATATAAATGTTCAATTACACCATCACACACATAGCCTGAATAGAACTTAGACAGAAGAACAAAGATTTGCATGTAAATAAAATCATTCAGCCTTCAGTTTAATCTTACAACAGTTTCAAAATGGTTCTATAGAACATATTCCCACTATAAAGATACTGTATATGGCTTTTGCTTATCCAGTACTCCAGTAAAAAAGATCATATTGGTCAAGTTTGTCTGTGTTTTGATGTCAGGATGTCTTCAGACTGAGCAAAATGAACTGTGGCAACTTTAACTT